CGGGAAAGCTTGCAACTTTGCAGTAAAGAAATATCAAAGGCTATTGAAGAAATTGAATACAACCAAATTTAAATACTTTGTAATTTGTCGTAAAATATATAAAAGCACAACCTACAAGATATTGAAGATGATTACTGGATTTCAAGTAACTGTGGCATTCTGATCGTTGTGTTAAAGCTACATTAAAATTGGGTTATGTTTTTTCAAATTGAATTTCCTCTATAAATATTCAGAATTTTGCAAAAAACAAAAAAAAAAAAATACATTGTTTTGTAGTTTAAGTAAGACCTACAAAACATTGAGCTGATTTGCACCATATTCATTAAATTATAGCTTTCTCTTTTATTGATTAGCAATATCATTTATTGTATTCAATGTCCTTAACCTGCTTTAAAATTATATTGTATCCTCTATTTTTTTTTTTATAATAAACCCTTCTTTGTCATCAGCAATATATTCATCATATTCATTATTTAGTCTACACTTTATAATATTTTCGAACGGCTTATAAAATTTTTCATTAAAATTTCTCTATTAATCGTATAAATTATCTGATTTAATTATATGGTTCTCAATTTTGATCAATTTTAAAAAGTTTACTTGCATTTATTGGATTTGTAAAATTATAAGAATTCATTAAATTATGTTGCTTTTTTGGTGGACCGCTTGAATCATCTAAATTATCAAATCGGTATATTTACATAATAATCTTTTCTTTTCTAAAAGCTATCAAGCATTAATCGAATGGTAACTGAAAATAAAAATAAAAAAAGAAAATTTATATGATCTTATTTTTTATAAAAACTTATATAATGCTAGGTTCATCCCAGTTTTTGGTTTCCTTAGTTTCTTTATTGTTCGCACATGTTAATAAGTTTAGATACGTAGAATAATAAATGGCTTGATAAGTTTTTACAATATTACAATTTAAGTAACCATATAAAAACAACAAAAAAAAACAACAGCATAAAAGTTATCTATTTATTAATAATAGGTAATATAAATAAGATTCTTCCCAGATTGCCCGGTAAAGTAAGCCGCATTGTTATGATAGACTCAGCTAATCACATAATTATTTATTCCACCAGAACTTCGGTAAATTAGGATTCAAGTTCCACCCTTATTTGACTTTCAATATCTCCTTCAGCAAAATATTGATTATTAAACATTGACGCTAACCATTTGTTCCTTAATGTTATCTTTAGTGCTTTCTTCTGATATAATCTCCTTATAAGCTCTATTCAAGCTTATATATTTCTCACGTGTCCTTTTTAATGCTTCCAAATAACTTGCATCAATGTAATATTCTTTTAATAAATTTTCTAAAAT